TTATGTTAAAAATTAATTAAAATTGTTTAAAATTGCAGGCAAATTTGCCTGCAATTTTTTACCATTAAAGGGATAATTTAAATTTAAATAAATTAAATATTATATTAAATAATATTATTTATCATATTAATAAAATTAAAATTTAATTATAATATTAATTAATATAATAAAATATTTAAAAAATATATTTTATTTCAAATTTATTAAAAAGTTATAAAAGTTATTTAAATATTTTAATAATTATATTGGATTTTTGTCAAATTTTACTTTTATAACAAAAATGATTTTTAAAGTAGTTATTAATTTTAATAACAAAATTTTAATTTGGATTAATATACTAATTTTAATAATTTATCATTTTGATATATTTTAAATACATTTTATATTAATTAAAATTTATATCAAAAAATAATTATAAAAATTAGTATAAGTAAAAATCAGGTTTTTACTTTTGATTACGTATGCATTATTACTGATTTTTGTTATCTGATATTTTATTTTTATCCAATATAATTCTTCCACATCATAGAAAAGCCATCAAAGTTCGCTGGTTTATTTGCGAGAAAAAAGTTCTCGAGTACTTTATTACTTGAGATATCAATGGCTCGAAGTTTATTTAAGAAGTGTATAAATAAAACCGGTTTTAAGGTGATGTAAATGTTGTGAAACGTATAGATTATGCAAATCAACCCCCTACATAATATGAAGTAATAATTACACAAGAAAAAAAGTAAAAAGGTTCACACAGCCTCAACTAAAAAAAAAAACCTCTGACCAGCTTTCCCTTTTTTTTTCTTTTGAAAATATTTTTGACGTCGTTTTTTATTTTTCGGTTTATCATCAAAAGGTAAAAAACCTTTTTTTATGTGAATTATATATTTTTACAATTTGTGCGACTCCGGTTTAATTTGAAAACAATTTATTTGTAATTTTTTTATTATTAGTAATTATGGCTGATAAAGGACCTTCTCCTATTTCTCCTATCGCTAAAGAGATTGAAGAAAAAGCCGAACAGGTTAAGGAAAAGCTTAAACATGTAGAAACAAAAGAAAGTAATAAATTACCTACAGCTGCAGGCAAGTTTATATTTATTTTTACTGCGGATTTAAATTTATTTAAAACAAAATTAAAGTTGAATGCCTTTATAGAAATCGAAGCCGAAAAGAAAGAAGCCGAAAAGTAATAGTAAATTATAAGAAAGCTTTTTTTTCTTGTCAAACGGTTTATATGTATATTACCAAAATAGCAACATGTAGTTCTAATTTCGATTATATTAAAATCATAAACTTTTATTATTTTGGTTTTTTTTATTTTTTCGATTAAATTTATTTTTAAATAATTACAAATTGGAATATTTTATTATTATTATTATTATGATACTTTGAGAAATACAGAAAAACATGAATTTATTTATAACCGTCATCATCTTGTCCGATAGAAATTATATTTTTTTTAGTATCCAAAAAAGGAAAAAAAGGTCTTAGCGATTCCATAAAGATAAATATTTTATCAATCAATCTTTACAATCTTTTGAAAAACGTGACCGGAAACATTTATATCTTTACACCCACTAATTTTTCACACCCATACCCGCTAGTAACTTATAAAAAAATTTCCTTTAAAAAAAGGAAATTCAAAAAATTCTTAATCTCACTGCAATGAGACACCCACACGGAAACCTTTAGTAAAAGGCGAAAGGTTTATACGTTCTGCAAGTATCTCGTGAGAAATTATGGGGATTTAGGATTGGGTTTTGGATTCATATTTATATAAAAATTTAAAATTATGGGATTGACGATCGTCAAAATGACGTTATTTTATTGCGCAGAAAATTTAGATCACGAATTTTTGTTAGCTAGGTGACACAAAAATGCCCAATAAAAAATTGGGTGACGGAAACCCTAAAAAAAAATGTATCAAATAAAAAATTTAACAATAAAAAATGTAATACAAAAATTTAATTAACCAAACGTTTACGCTTCGGACAATAATTAATTAAACACGAATCACACGAGTCAAAATATAAAAATAATAAAATAATATAAAATAATATATAACACACGTCATTTATTTATTTTATATATTTATCAAGTTATCAATAAATTTTATTTTATATAAATAAGTTTCGCATATTATTTATGTGCCAATTTTTTTAGTGTTCTTTTTTAGATCATAGAATTTTTATTTGCATGCGAGAAGGTGGGGATTAACGTTATTTTATTTATTCAATGCACCCTTGCTATTTTTACGTCATACATAATCAATTTTATTGCACGAAAAATTTCATTAATATCAGATTCAGCTCGGTGGTACTCGCATTATATAAGAACTGATTGGATCAACAACATCAAGATTACGGGCCTTTGCTATTTTAAGATCTTAAATAACTCTCAATGACTTGACCAATTCCTCTCTAAGAACAAACATGGCTCTAAATAGTTCGTACAAATAGCATAAATCAGATACTCTTCTCGGTAAAGTAAACTGAGACATTGTTCTTATACAATAAAGCCCATGACCAACTATATATAGTTCAGAGATGATACAATCGTAGCCTATAAACAACATAAATTTCAAATTATGAAAACCATATTGTTGAAACAAAATTGCATAACGGAAGGAAATTTTACCTTCCGTTTGTAACCCAAATACTTTAAGTTTTTTAGCCAATTCAAATTCACATACGTTATAGTCAAGAAAGAGATTATTAAGTACATCTACCAAACAACGATCTAGTTTACACGTCCTCTTCCGGAACCAATACCGTCTGTCTTTGATCCTGTTCGTCTCTTTTACCTTTCGCAAGTTGATAGTTTCGACGGTTGGCTGATGATAAACTCGTGATTTCACCCCTACAATATTTTTTTTCATGTAACAAACAGCCAACCATACAAAAGATGCGTCAAAAAAGAGTGCTTACTTACCAATTCACATCCATTAGGCCTTTGAATATGAAAATGAACGGCTCTATAATTGGCTCAATAAATCTTACACGAAATGTAGACTCAGTTCCTGGTCTTTAGCAAAGTATTCTGGCCGATTTTCAAGACAAAAAAAAACTGATACATTGATATTATTAGTCAACGATAAGTTCGTTCTTTTAAATCTCATACCAACAATACTTACTAATTATCGAAGACTATACGAACATATTTATCTTCATCGGTAGTTACTACTTCATATGAATCGAATGTTTCCCGTATATTTTTAATCTCAGGATTTTTCAAATAATTTTCAAGTTGTCGTTATACTGAAAGAGGTAGGTTTACTGATGGTTTTGGTACAGAAATAATTGCGGACCATTCCTATGCGGAACAGGATGAAGGTGTGCATTTCTCCGTTATAATGTCGAGTTCAATTATATGAGCATAATATTCCCTAATTGGTAGAATGGAATAAATATAAAACGAAGTCGATTGGAAAATTACAAAAACTAACAATATTCACTCTTCAAGGTCACTTTCATCATTTTCAGAAGTCACATAATCCTCGTCTTTGGACTTGTCATCATCATCTTCGGACTCATCATCGTCATCTACTTCGGACTTATGAATTGAATATTATTTCTGTTTTGACCTGACGCAAAATAAAGTATATTTAGGTCAAGATTTCAGAAAAGCTACATGCAATTATGATTAATCCACACCGACAACAATACAGTACAGCAGTATAGAAAGAAATGTTACCAGTTCAGTAAATCCATCAAAGTGTATGGAAATTAAATCTTGGCCAAGCATTTTTCTCTTCCGTTGGTCATCGACATTTTGCCAAAAACTGATAACAGCTTGGGATCGAGCGTAAGTCAAAAGCAATCAAAAGAAATATCTCAAAATTGCAAAATTGAGCAAGGGACTCGATCGGCTGTGGTAACCAAAGCAGTGGATGATTCCAATTGTGAACAAAATCCCAGAAATGCGAAAATTACAACACGAGGTGAAAAGCAGTGTCTCCCACATTTCCGCTGGTATGCTTTCTGAAAGCAGTGGATCTTACCCTGAATTCAAAGCAGTGGATGAACGCAGAGGAAGCACACCAACTTCTGCTCAATCCTATATAAAGAATTCAAAAAAACGTATTACTTCACCTTAATTTTTGACAGCTTCTTCTGCAAGCTTCCGAGTCCGAGCAGAAGCTGTTTTCTTGAAATTAATGTGACGGTTTCTAACCATACTCTATGCGTTATTATTTGTCAAAAGTCTTGCGTTTATTTTTAGGATACATAAGTATTCCAGAAGATGATTTGTTACGTTAGGATTTTCTTATATTTTTATGAAAAATTTCCAGCGGTCTTTTGTCGAAATTTTACCATACGTGTCATACGTGGCATAATGGATGGACATTTAATTTCTTGCGATCTTATTGGTTTGAAATATCACATACGAAATTGATCGGCATATAATTTACCAAAAAAGAAAATCTAATTTTTTTACTTGTAAAAAATGGCAATTCTTTAATTAATTAAAATAAAAGTATCTATTAAATAAATTTATATTTTATGATAGTCATTAGTAAATAAATATTAATAATAGTCCACCTAAGTTAAAGACTATGATAAAAATAATCCAAACATTGTTTAATTTAGGCTATAAAAGCTAATATATATCAAAATTAATATAATAAATATTTAGATAAAAAAAAAAAAGTGTAATGTTGATATGTGAACATGCTTTTTATCACAAATGTTTTGCAAAACAAAATAATAAGTATAATTATTATTTTGAATTCTATAAAAAGGGTGTTATCTTTAATGTAAGCTCCTATATAAAAAGATTAGAAAGAGATAATAATATTAATAATAGTTTATTAGATGATGAAATATTAGATAATGAAACAAAAAAAGGAAGAAGAAGAAAATGAAGTAATAAAAAAAAAGTATATTAGTAGACTTTAAAATGCTTTAGAATTTATAAAAATATATTTTAATATTCATATATTAATTAATAATACCTTAAATTTCAACTCTCATTTAAATTTCGCTATGGCAGAGATCTTTTAGATCTTTTTTTACCCAAATGTAAAGAAAAGAACGAACAATATATTAATAAAAAAAACTGTACATTGATAAATTAGTTTTTGAAAAAATATTATATCTTGTTTTATTACTTTAAATTAATTAATATCAAATGTTACACAATATAAAAAATATCAACATTTGATTTTATCATCTTGTGATATAACAAATTTTTATTATGCTTCATACATGTCATACTAAATATATACATTTTCTTGGTTGCACAAGTTCTTGCTATCTTTATGCCTACTTGTCATAGAGGTCTTTAGCAAATCTACCTTCTAAGCGGAAGGTCAGAAGTTCGAGATTGCTTCTGAAAATATGATCACATATGTAAAAGTATTGATCTTTAATTAGGAATCAAAAATTAACAGTTACTGTAATTAAGATTTGGTTAATTAACCAATTAATTAACTAAATTAATTAACTTTAATATACATTTTATATATAAAAAAATTATTTAAATCATTTGCAAAATTATTAAATAAACTTTATCATATTACTATCACTATATATATAACCATTTTATTGTAAGTGGAATATCACTATATAATATAATTATATTATATAGTGGTATCCTACTTGTCTTAGATTATAGTATCATTATATAATCTAAATATCACTATATACCGTTTAGCACTGCCTAAGATACCCCAGGTATCTTACAATTTTCCCAATTTAAAAATTGAATGATACTCGCAGGTATTTCATTAGATATCAGGTATTTTAAACAGTAAGATATCATAAGTAGGGAATATAATATTGTAGGGATATCTTTGACAGGTAAGATATTATAAGTTAGGAGGTATTATTAACATTGTGATAATCTAAATGATAAAAGTTTGGTGATCGTTATTTTTGATGTTATACTTTTTATTTAATAAAATATGACAAATTTCAGTGTTCTTTAAATTTGCCAAACAATGAATAACTATATGTAAATTTTTTTATTTGAGAATTTATGTTCAGATAGTTTTTATATTTAGAGAATTCGCAAAAAAACAATTTTTTTTATGATAAAAAATATAAAACATCAAAATACAACCAGTTAGTTTTGTTTGTTTTGTTTGAATTTTAACTTTAAATTTTAAATTTTGCTTTCAGGAGTTTTTTATATATTTGAAAATATTATAATAGTATCAGTATCTAATGTTCGGAGAAATAAGGTAGGTGATAAATTATCCTTTTTATCAAAAATCACACTCGTTAATTACTGATATAGCAATTATCGAAACTCTAGAAAATGCTTTAATTTATTCAGAAAATAAAATGCATTTTGAAAAAAAAATGGTATTTTAAAGGTTACTTTTTCACGATTTTTTTAAGTTTTTCTTTTTATCAGAATTTAAAACTATAAAGTATTAAAAAATAATTTTTAAAGATAATTATATCTAAAAAATATATTAACATTCCTTTTATATTATTTTTAGAAATATGATTTGTGGAAATTTTAAGACCCGTCATATTAGGGTTATAAAAAAAATAAAATATCAATAATCAGCACGAGAAAAACTAATGGTGATTACATATCATGAAAAAGGTCATAATAAACGTTCAACTGCAGAGAAGTTTATCATTCAGCCTAAACAGTTTTGAGAGTGGTTGAACAATAAAGAACAACTGTTAAAAGCAACTCCGTATATTCAAAAACTTAACACAGGTGCCTGTCCAAAATACCCATTACTTGAGGATGACTTTTTTGAATAGTTTAAAGAATCCTGAAGCCAATAAAAAGTTGTTTCTCATTACATGATTTAAACAAAAGCATGTTCTTTAGCTAAAAAAATGGAGTATTAGTTAAAATATCCTGATATAAAAAATATGAGTTTTTCACAAAAATGGGTTAATAGTTTTATGAGCCGTTATGACTTGGTTAATAGAAGAAAAAATAACAGTTGCTCAACGACTTCCAGAAAATTATATAGAACAACAGAGTGAATTTTTATCTTATGTCTTATTTTGTCGAAAAGAACATGATTATTTATTATCTTTAATTAGAAATATAAATGAAACATCAATATCATTTAATTTATCAAATAATACAACAGTTGAATAATGTGGTACTAAAACTGTTTCAATTTTATCAACTGGACATGAGCGTTCAAATTTTACTGTTGTTTTAAGTTATATGGTCGATAGAAGCAAATTACTACCTGTAATTATTTTTAAACTTGTAAATGTTCCTTGAAAAGAGTTTCCTGATGGTGTAATTGTTCATGCTAATTCTTAAGGTTGGATGAATGAAAATGAAATGTCTTAGTGGGTGGAAAATATTTGGATATGACATGCAAGACAAAGCAGTAATCCAAAATCTCTTTTAGTATTAGATTCTTTTACTGCATATAGAACTGATGTTATAAAACATTAATTTTATGAAAATATACTAATTTAGCTATTATTCTGAGTGGGTTAACTTCTTGTTTACAACCACTTGATATATCATTAAATAAATTCTTTAAGGCTAAGGTATTTTATTTTATTTTATTTTATTTTATTTATTATTTAAATAATTAATATTAATGTTTTTAAAAAAAATAGATACGGCAACGTTATAATGTTTGGATGAATAATGCTATTAAAGAATATACACCATCTGAAAAAATTAAAAGACCATCTGATTCACTTATTACTAATTGGGTAAAGGAAAGCTGGGATGCTATTGATTCTAATATGATTAATCATTCATTTAAATGTTGTGATGCTTCCAATGCAATTGATGGAACAGAAGATGATTTAATTTTTAATTTTAATAAAGTAGAAGATATAAATAATCAAGGGAGAGAAATTTAAGAAGCGGATGAGCAGAATGATAGTGAAAATGAATCAGGTGATAATGGTAATAAAAATGAATTAAAAAATAATGATGAATATGAAAATAATGATTATAAAAGTAATGAAGATTGTAATATAATTCATAATTGGAATATTTAGAAAAATTATTAATTTTATAGCATTTATTCAATAATAATAAATAAAGTATTTTTCATTTTATAAATTTGTTATTATTTCAGTATAAAATACTTAGGTTTCTTATAAAACACCTGTAATTAAAATTGAATCATATCCGGATCTTAAAATAGGCAATAAATTTTATATGTAATAAAATACTCAGGTCTTTTAAAGTAGATATTCAAAAAGAGAGATATTTTAAGCAATGCTAAATAGTAATCTGAATATCACTATATAATCTGAGTACCACTCTATAATCTAGCTATCACCATATAATCTAAATAATATAATCTAGATATCACTATATAATTTATATATTTTTTGTGAATTAGGTATCTATTTTATACTTTTGCTATCCTTTTTAACCTTTCTTGTTATTCATATTTTTTATCACATATAATCTAACTACCACTATATGATCTAAATATTATGTTTTTCTTCTTATTTCTGAGTTTTTTACATACCAATTTTAATATTGTAATTATTAGTTTTCTATAGCTATTTAGATATCTAGTTTTATAATGAGAGTATTAGCCTCTTGCGTCTGATTGAATGCTAGATTTTATATTGAGATGCTTACTCTTTGCACTTATTTAGTTGCTTGTAGTGTTCCGCACAGATCAGATCAGATCAGATTTAGGCAAAATCTGATTCGATTTGAATCTGAAAAATCTGAATCTGACAAATCTGAATCTGAATCCGTATCTGAATCTGACAAATCTGAATCTGTATCTGTATCCGATGGATCAAAAAATTTTTAACAAAAATTTGCCTCTG